AGGGAGAGGCGCTGAGGGAAAGAAGTGGGAGTTCGCTGAGTGGGTTGATGGGGTATGGGAAATCGGAGGGCGGCGAGCGTGAGGAGTAATGGGAGTACGGCGAGTACGCCTAGTAGTCCTTTGGTGGGGGTGCAGTCTGGATTGGAGGTGGATGTGGGGATGAGACCGGGGACTTCGGGGGGTGATGGTGGGTTAGTTGGTGGTGGTGGAAGTGGGAGTGGAAGTGGGAGTGGAAATAGGAGGAGTAGTGGAAGTGTAGGATCGGCTTCAAAGGGCGCGCCGGGGAATGTGAATAGAGGGAGTAATGGGAGTATGAGTGGGGGAATTTTGGGGAGTAGTTGGTTGAGGAGTTAGGGGATGGGTGGGTGGAGTGGGGGGAGGGGAGGGGATCCCAACTATGACTTCCTATGATAATAACGACATATACACACACACACACACACATGTACCTCGCGAGCATGAATATGAATAAACATCAATATCAATATCAGCATCAACATCAATACAGAGATAAAGGCTAAGATGAAGATAAAGGCGAAGATGAAGAAAAGGGCGAACGCAAACGCAAACGCACCCAAAAAAGAAAGAAAAAAAAGAAAATCCCTAAGTATTCTGGGTGATATGGGATGCAAGTCGAATTCTGGATTCTGGATTCTGGATTCTGGATTCTGGATTCTGGATTCTGGATTCTGGATTCTGGATTCTGGATTTGATAGGATAAGATGGGATAAGATGAGATGGGATTTGCAAGGCTGGAATGGAGAATGGAGAATGGAGAAATGCAGGTGAGGATTTGGGTTTGATGGATGGGTTTGAATAGGATTTTCAATAGGATTTTCAATAGGATTTGAATAGGTATTGAATTGAAGCTGGAGTTGAAGCTGGAGCTGGAGCTAGAATATGGGATTTGAGATTTGAGATTCGGAATATCATAGTTAGTTATTAGTTATATTATATGATATTTATATCTTATTTTATCTTATTTTATCTTATTTTATCTTATTTTATCTTAGTTGTATCTTATTTTATCTTATTTTATCTTATTTTATCTTATTTTAGTTTTAGAAGTAAATAAGTATATTAAAAAGTATATTAAGAAATATCCCTTAAGATATATTAAATAAACTCCAAAAATAATTTAAAACGATATATCTTAAATAGTAAAGTTTCTTTGAATAAAATAACTATTTTAATAATTTTTCAATCATATTATTTATAGTATAAGAATCTTGATTTCAAATTTCGATTTTTAAATTTTAAAAAATACTAAAGATTGCAAATTAATATATATTATTATATTCAAAATTTTAATGTAAAAATAATATTAATTGATTTTTATATTAAAGATTAAATATAAATATCAAATTACATCAAGAAATTCTAATACTCTGATTGATTTATACACTCCTGTTAACGCAACGGAGCTCATTTAATACATCTTAGAGAATAGGTCAAGGTCAAGGTTCAAGGTATCTGTTTTCCTTTAATTTACTTATTGAGTATTAGAGTATTGTATATTAAGTCTCAAGTATTAAGTATCGAGTATAATCGATTGATTTATTGATTTATAAAAATTGATTTATAAAATGAGTAACATCCCATTCATTCATTTTTTTCTTTTTCAATCTTTCATTCCATTCCATTTCATTCGTATTACTATTCCACGCTATGCATACCGAGATAGATACTATCAAGAGAATCAAAACCAGCAAAAAAGAATGATAGAAAATGATTAAACCGCATACAAAGCTCGTGTGAATATCTCCCTCGCTTCGACTTTGCTTTTTTCCCTCCCTCCCCGATTTCCATTGTCATTTCCATTCCGAGTCTCCCCATTTCCCTTCCCCCTATCCTTCCCATCAAACCACAATGTCATCAAGAACAAAAAACGAAAACCCAATCAAAGCTCCTTCTTCGATTCGATAATTCGGAGCCGTCTTATTAATAAAAACTTCTTCCCATCGCATAGTTTCCCCTTGTCCTCTTTGTCCTCTGCCAGAATCTATTGATTTCGTTAGTCTCTGATACTATCCCATGCAATTCCGTAACTTCTAAAACATACCTCTCCTCTGCAGTTCCATGACCTCTCAAACTCGATTCTCTTGCTTCTTCCTCTAGCGTATTTCTACTAATCTTCTCCCCGTTTGTAATGCCTCCTGAAGCAGCCTTCTCCGCAGCTTCTTGCGATATTGTTTCCTGTAAGTATTGTCTATCACACCCACAATTAGTTCACGTCTTAAAGAAAAACACAAATACCCTTCGAACGAGAAAAGGGGCACAAACGAAGCAAACATGGCAGGAATAACATACTTCCTAACTGCAAATCTTTCTTTTCTCTCTCTCTGTAATCCCGGACTATCGATTTTACTCAATGCCAATCGAATACCTCTTCTCAAGGTCAAATAAATATGTTCGGAGAAAAACATAGTAAGTAGCACTCCCCATCCCGTCATTTTACTTGGTGTGCCATCCGGTCCAAGTCCATCCCCGGAAAATAGGTATACCAGAGCTGCTGTACTAAGACTTCCCAACCATGACAAGAAACCCAATGCATCAAGCCATGGGCCTATGGAATCCGCGCGCCATGGAACAGGACGTTGAGTTTCCAGTGCAATCTTGAGAGCATCACCTCTAAGTTCAATCCAATTATTAATCAAGAAAGAAATACCAGTAAGAGGCCAAACGACTGAGAAGAGGGATAAATAACCGAATTGAATAACCATTTCTCGGAAATCTGTTGTTACGTCATAGATACCCAATTCGGCTTCATTTCTTACACGGGTCAAGAATGCGGCCTCTTCTGGATGATCACTTTCCGGTGTTGAGGAACCTCCACGTTTGGCGGCACGATCTGCTTGGACTTCTTTGTATTTTCTGAAGACGCTACGTTTGACGTATGGAACAATAACTTCGAGAGCGAAATTGACGATTTGTGCTGTGACTGTAAAGTAGATGACCTGTTTCTTTAATCTGTCGGGATTAATTTGGAATCCTGCTTTTGGTGCTGTCATTTGTTCATCATTCTCCGCAAATGGTCTCACGGCCATTTGGAAAATATCGAGATGAGGGACGATGTGCTGAGCAAATGGAACATAGACAAATGCTGTGAGGAAGATTGGCATGTAAGATGTTATGAAATTGAGGACGAAGATCTTTTGAACCATTGCCGCATCATGTGCTATTGAAGGTTAGAAATATTAAAACTAGGGCACATGGGATAGTCACTTACCGTCAGTAGTTTCATAATTCTCAAGATCTGTCAATTTTGAGGCAAATCCTGTCAAAAGAACAGACAGTGTTGGCATAAAAACTGTCAGGATGACAGTTGGTAAGAAAGTCTGGTCTATTGTTAGCTGAATTCAAATTCATGATCAATATACATACCAAATATGCCTTGAATGGACCATTGTAAACTTCAGAAATGAAGATCTCGATTGCAAAACAAGTTGCAATCAAACTTCCCAGTATAACAACAGCACAGAGTGCGAAGGGTACTTGTAGCAATTGACGACTCAATCTTTTCACTGGAGAGTAGAACTTAATCTGCTCTCCAGTAACTGGATCCTTGATTTCCCTTTCATGCTTGAAGTCAGGTCTTTTGTGTTGAATTTTGGATACTCCTCGAACACCCCATTGTACTGCAAGATCGGTTTCTTGTTTCTTCCAATATTCCGTGTAGACGATTCCCCACAAGCCATTGACTACGGCATATATTGGGGAGTATTGACCGAAGAGAACCCAAGCGCAAAATCCGAATGCCGCAGGAAATACCAAAAACATGAAATAAGATTGTAGAAAGGCGAAATAAAATCCAATCTTTTCACCAAATCTGTCTTTGATATCCTCTAGATCCTTGGTTGTGAGAAGATACTTGGAGGTAATTTCCTTAATCCAAGCCTTATTGAATTCATGGTCGTGAAGAGGAAATATCGATTCGACTCCCTTCCACTCCCCTCTCTTAGGCGTGATTCCAGCACCACCTTCATTTCTTGGTTTTGTGATCAATAGGTAGACCAATCTTAATCGTTCAGCTTCAGTCATTGGTTCCGCACTCAAAGCCTCTTGCATATTCTTTTCTGGTGCAGCTGTCCGAACTCCATATAGCCAATCTTGTACTCTGGAGCGATATACTTCGGATCGTAGATGTCTGTCCGAAGCAGCTTTGACGAATATAAGAAGTGAACAGTTATCCCCATTTCGCACTTCAGTCATTAATCCAACATCGTTGAGAGCTTCAATAAGCTTCACGAATTGTGCTTCGGCTTCGACTTTGTCTGGCGGGGTAAATTAGTTATCTGCGAAATTGGATGGGAAGCATTGGGTTGTCATACTTGTAGTAGCAAAACGATAATCGATTACGAAGTCGACTCTGTGTAGAATCTGATCAGCTAATGTTTATGAACCCCTCCTGTTCACTTACTCAAAATTGGTATTTAAAGCATTTCCAAGAGCTGGATTTGGCTCGTAGATACTCTTGAGCGAAGCCATATTGTCGATGCAAATCTGCCGGAAGAACTTTGCTCGACTCAAGTTTCCGCAGATATATTGAAGAAGATATAAAATCAACAAGAGGTGAAAAGTTGGTAAATAACCAGCTCTTTGTTGAACGATAATATTCACACAAGCTTCAATCAAGCCATCAAACATCCATGACGAAATCGTCGCTAAATTTGGGGATCCTGAATTTATCCTTGTCACGTCACCTATTTTGAAGCTTGGCTTTGGTGAACTTGCAGAGAGCACACACACACACCCCACGTTCTATTCCGATTGAGTATCAATTGACCAGGTACGGGTACAATAGACAAGTAACTAACTGCCTTCTCTAGTGACTTCCAATATCGGTTATGCTTTATGGAAATGTGTCTACTTTATCCTGGATATTGAAGGGCAACCCTTAATTGAGGATTGTCCTGATCACAGGTATATCTGATCAACACTCAACCGCAAATTGCTAAGACTACCTGATATCCGCCAACAGGCGCCAGCATCCCTCAATCATGGCACCCAAACAAAAGACCATATACCCATGGTCTCGTCGAAAAAATATATTTGATCCGCCAACTCCTCTTGATTCTCTCCTTGAATCTCCTCTCCGCACATTGATCTTCTATCTCCATACCATTCTCCTCTATTTTCGTGGCACATCTTTCAAACCTCCCCGAAACAAACCTTCGGTTCGAGTTGTTTGTATCTCAGACACACATTGCAATACAATACCAATTCCACCGGGTGATCTTTTAATACATGCAGGAGATTTGACGAATGCGGGCACGGTGGAAGAGATACAAGCCCAGATAGATTGGTTGGACCAACAGCCACATAGAGAGAAAGTGTTTATTTGCGGAAACCATGATAGTTATTTTGATCCCAGATCGAGGAAAGAAGAAGATAAGAAGAGGAAATTGAATTTTAAAAGTTTACATTATTTGGAGAACAAAGCTATCACATTGAAATTCAAGGGCGGGAGAAAGTTAAAGCTTTATGGATCGCCAGATATCCCTCAATGTGGCGGTTCTGATTTTGCGTAAGAAGCCCCCAATCTTTTGGAGAGGATGTGAATGCTAATCATATTCCCAATTGCCAGTTTTCAATATCAAAGACATCTTGCGCCGTGGGAGAATCGTATACCGAAAGATACAGATATTCTCATTACACACTGTCCGCCTCGCCATCACCTCGATATCAACCTAGGTTGCAAATCATTACTGGAAGAAATATGGAAGGTCAAACCTAGACTTCATGTGTTTGGGCATATACATTCCGGACATGGTCGCGAAGCTGTGTTTTGGGACAAGGGACAAGAAGCTTACGAGAGACTCATGGAAAGGAAGAGAGGAGGCATAATCATGGACTTGATACCAAATTTGGCATGGATAGATGCTATGAAAGTGATTTGGTATGGAGTAAAGGGTATTTTATGGCAAAGATTAATGGTTGGTCCTGCTGGTGGAAATGGTGGTTTGATGATCAATGCTGCGGTTGTTTATCAATCATCAACTGATGTAGGAAATCCAGTTGAAGTTGTAGAGTTATGAATGATGAAAGTAATGGCGATTGACAAGTCTCTTCTCAAGAAAACATGAGACAAGATATGATATATGACTTTACACAGCTCAAGACTTGTAGATATGACATGTGCTTTGAATACTGTTCACTGACAGTATGCTCACCCCCCCTTGGAAAATGATCCGTAGTCCTTCGGTACTTCGAGACGGTAGTGAAATAGTATTTCAAGTCGTCCTCCTTTATATCAACTGTATGAATAACTCGAAACATAGAAACAAATGATACCTAGGTGTCTAATATCTGATATCTTATTGGTCAAATCACTTTCATCCTTACCGTAGCTCTCCCCGCATCCGAAGTCGGTGGGGCCGCTGGGCTCTCCTCTCATCATCAAGGCACGGAGATAAGTCGTTATCAAGGTCAAAGTATTATTTGTATTTCGAAATGCAAACTTCCTTTCAAATCTCCTGGTACTCCATGACTTTCTGTAAAGAGAATGTGATGAAAGATAAACCTCAATCAAACTCTACCTCCAGTTTCGCATTAATACAATTGCAATTACAAATACACATGCTTGCTTGGACGGTGAGTATCTCCTAAGTCGGTATACCTTCTGTGTTTCATTCGTTCGCCATTCATCCGAAAAGGCGAATCTGAATTGAGAGGCTGGATATGCCGAGCATGGAATCCCTTTCCTTTCTTTTCCTTTACCTCAATAGAGACCACTATTCCCGAGGCTACTCCACAAACTATCTTTAGGTCTTGACTATTGACTTTGATAGTATATACACTCGGGTTTCTCTTTTTTTGTTTAGAATTTTTTTTAGAATTTATCATCTTTCTCTCAGTTACATATCCTTTTTCCAATTGTGATTGTGATTGTGACTGCGATTCTGAGGATATCAAGACATTGCATTATCACAAGCTAAACGAAACGATGGCCAAGTTAACTGGACAGGAAGTCGCAGAACATAACTCGAAAGAGTCGTGTTGGGTTATTGTTCATGTATGTATTTGCCTCGCTGTATGGAGTGGCAAGAACTAATTCTTGATATAGGGAAAAGCTTATGATGTTACGGAATTCTTACCTGGTATGAAGATATGTGTGGTATCAAAGGAAGCTATATATTAATTACATTGACAGAACATCCTGGTGGACCTAAGATTATTCTCAAATATGCCGTAAATATCCCTCAGAAATAGCAATAGCATGCAGAGAAGTTAACTTTGTAAATAGGGCAAAGATGCTACAGAAGAATACGAGCCAATTCATCCCCCTGACACTCTCGATAAATTCCTAGACAAATCGAAACATCTAGGACCAGTTGATATGGGCACAGTCGAGAAGGAAGAGAAGGAATTTGATCCAGATGAAGAAGCAAGACAAGAGAGAATTGCACGTATGCCAATTCTAGAACAATGCTACAATTTGATGGATTTCGAGTCCGTGGCAAGAAGGGTTATGAAGAAGACTGCTTGGGCATACTATTCCAGCGGTGCTGATGATGAAATTGTAAGACAGACCCTTCCTATCTTCAACATTGATGCAGTTGCTAATATTAGTAGACTATGCGCGAAAATCATTCTGCCTTTCATAAGATATGGTTTCGGCCAAAGGTTCTTGTGGATGTGGAAAAGGTCGATTTTACTACAACTATGCTTGGAACGAAAGTCGATATCCCTTTCTATGTGACAGCTACAGCATTAGGAAAGCTTGGACACCCCGAAGGAGAGGTTGTCTTCACACGAGCGGCGAAGAAACACAATGTTATACAAATGATTCCAACTCTAGCATCTTGCTCGTTTGATGAAATCATGGATGCCGCAGAGGGGCAGCAGGTTCAATGGTTACAATTATACGTCAACAAGGATCGAGAGATTACAAAGAAGATTGTTCAGCATGCTGAGTATCGTGGTTGCAAGGGTCTATTCATCACAGTCGATGCTCCTCAATTAGGAAGAAGAGAAAAGGATATGCGTTCAAAATTTACGGATGTAGGATCTTCTGTTCAATCAAGCAGTGGACAATCCACGGACAACTCTCAAGGTGCAGCAAGAGCTATTTCGAGTTTTATCGATCCAGCTTTGAGTTGGAAAGATATTCCTTGGTTCAAGTCTATTACCAAGATGCCTATCATTCTCAAGGGTGTTCAACGTGTAGAAGATGTCATTCGAGCTGTCGAATGTGGCGTTCAAGGTGTTGTGCTCTCTAATCACGGAGGTCGTCAATTAGATTTTGCTCGATCGGGTATCGAAGTTCTCGCAGAAGTTATGCCCGTTCTTCGAGAGCGTGGATGGGAAAATCGTATCGAGATTTATATTGATGGCGGCATCAGAAGATCCACGGATATTATCAAAGCACTTTGCTTGGGTGCTAAAGGTGTTGGAATCGGTAGACCTTTCTTGTATGCTATGAGTGCGTATGGATTGGCGGGTGTAGATCGTGCTATGCAGTTATTGAAAGATGAGATGGAAATGAATATGAGGTTGATTGGGTGTTCGAGTGTGGATCAGTTGAATCCGACATTGATCGATACTAGAGGATTAAGTTCACATACTACAATGGTTCCGATTGATACTTTGGTAAGTTTCCTCTCTTGACATGCATGATATGAGAAATGACTGGCAGCTAACGGTTAAATAGGGTATGACGACTTATGATCCTCTGGCGAATCCAGCAGAGAAAGCCAAGGCGAAGTTGTGAAGATGTGAAGATGTGAAGATGTGAAGATGTGAAGTTGTGAAGTTGTAGAAGATATGAAGATATATGGAGAAAGATGCGTATTTGTGGGGTGGAACTTTTTGATTAGAGAAAGAAGACTTGTACACATAATTCGAGACATTCACATATTTTTAAATAAAAGACCAATAACGCGGAACTTGAGATATTGCCACAGTCAAATGTAAAATCCCATCTCTGTACGACTCGGACCAAACGCTCCTACCGATTTCATGCCCTGGCCCGATCTAAGCCGAAACGTGCTGCGTCGCCCATCAGCCCGATCATTCCAAGCCATACCTTGAAATACTTGCTAAATGCAGTCATGAGTACATATGTTTCACACCGCAAATTTGACGATTAGACTACTTTGAATCTTCTTTGCGTCAGAATGCATAACAGCTGATCGACTCAACGACTATGAGAACCTTTGAAAGTCATGTGTGCTGCAAAGAACAAGAAACTCGGGATTCTTCATTTTGGTTTCATCGACAGGGATAGTTTTTATACCTAGGCCATTGATCTCTGGGCATTAATTTTCTACTTTTTACCCCCCTAGTTTCTATGGTTTGGGGGGAGGGGGGGGAAGGGGGGGGAAGGGGATTTATTCTAGGGGTGGGATTTCTTAGGTGCGTCATGGTGGATTCTAGCTCACTAGGTCTACCTGTCAGACTTTGATATTAAGAGAGGTCGAGAAAGTGGTATGGGATAGTATGGTATGGTAAAGTAGTCCAAAAAGCAATTTCGATAATTTAAATGAAAGGTTCTCTAGCACACATTCTTTTCTTGGGTTTTGTGTTTTCGCATTCGGAACTTAATCTTGGTTGTTGAGTGAAGACATAGAACAAGTTTGGTGTATATTGTACAACTTTCATCGAGTTTGCTATCGTCGGTTTGATTTGTTTATCTGTTTATCTGTTTGTTCGTTTGTCAGTTTGTGCGGCTTACTAGGTACTTGCTTGTATTGGTTTCAGACGGGTTTGTCGAGGGCTTGGAATAGATAATGTGGAAGAGGCCGAGTTTGAATACGCAGATAAATTGAATTTGGGCAGATAGATTGGTCAGGATTGATTTGCATACCTAGGATTGCGTCGAAAGAACATCAGAGCAGAGCGTGAATATTTGGATGGGATTCGACTCGGATTTTTAGATTGAACGAGAGTGAAGGATCGACGACATACAACGTTAGGGTTTGGATTGGGAGATGAGCTGAAATAGGATGAGCCGGAATGGAATGAGAAATGAAGATATGATACGAGGAACAAATCCAAGAACAAGAACGAGAGCGATATGAGTGTATGAATCATTACGGTACGGAACGAAACAAAACAAAACAGACGCATCGAAACAACAAAGAGTAGGAATAGGCATACTTGATAAACGAACGAGGAAACGAAGAACAGGTTAGCAACAAAATACCACATTTGCAGACGGGGGGACGGAAGATATATATGATAGGGAGAGGAGAAAGGAAGAGAAGAACCGCAGAAGAGTAGGAAACTGTGAGCATACGTAAGGCATCTGTTGAGAATTTGTGATATTTTGAGAGGGGGCAATAGGAAGATTTGATTGCAAATCTGCTGAATTGCTTGGAGCTACACCGAGGAAGGGTGAGCGAAGAGAAGAGATATATATCTATATTGGGTTTGGAGAGAATTCGAGCGGACAGGTGAAGAATCGAACATACGGCTGGAAGGAAATAATCTGCGGCGTTATATCGTGGGATTTTGCAGAGTCATATTGTGAAAGGACGATCAAGAGGGATCAGTGCGGAAGTTCATTCTCGTACTGAAGATATTGCGAGATATTCACCCATCTGCCCATCTACAATTCACATACGCCATACGGTCACCTCATAACTACCTACCTATATCTATTACGAGACCTCGTACTCGACTGTCAACAAACTTTCCTCCCACACCTGATACATCCGAATTAAGAAAAATGAGCACCTCCCTCGAAGCCAAGATAGTAGTGCTAGGCGCCCAAGGCGTAGGCAAAACTTCACTCCTTCTTCGATACATAAAAAATCAATTTAGTCCGAAAACTACGACGTCGACGGTTGGGGCTAGTTTTCTGACGAAGAGAGTGGTGGATGCCGAGAGTGATACAGTTGTGAGATTACAGATTTGGGATACGGCGGGGCAGGAAAGATTTAGGTATGTATCTGGTGTGGAAGTTCCTTGTGGCGAGGGGAGTTGATGTGTGTGAGGGAAGGTTGACGGGAAAGATGTGTGAACGGGGGAGGGCGAGTGTCACATATTGAATAGGGATAAGAACAAGAACAATGCAATACAAGATGACATGCTAACCATTTTATTCCCAATCTATAGATCTATATCCCGCCTTTACTACCGCGGGGCAAATGCCTGTATCCTCTGCTACAGCATCACATCCCAAACCTCGTTCACCGAAATGTCCGTTTGGCTTACCGAACTCCGTCGCAATCTTCCTGCGGATATCATCCTTCATGTCGTAGGTACCAAAGCTGATCTCGTTGCTAAAGATCCTAGTGCAAGAGAAGTTCCATTCGAGAGATGTATTGCATATGTAGCCGAAAACGTCACATCTATTTTAGGCAGCACACCACCTGCTACTGCTTTGGGAGAACGTGGGTTCGGCAGTTGGGGCGGCGCCGGAGGTGGAGTGTGGGGATCTGGTGGTCAAGGCACAATGGGGATAGAAGGTGCACGATCACCTTCTAGTAAGAGAAGTTCTGGATTCTGGGGTATGGAAGTGGGATGGGATTGTTGTCATGAAGTTAGTGCGGAGAGTGGAGAGGGCGTGGAAGAGGTTTTTAGGGTTATCACGAGAAAACTTGTGGAACAGAATAATAAGATGAAAGAACAACTTTTGAGTGCGGTAGCGACTCCCGGTACGCCTATGGGGAATGACGGGATGGGGATAGAGGGGCAAACGGGATATTTTGATGGGATTATGAGGCCTGGTGGAAGTTTTAGAGTGGGAAGAGGAGATAGGAGGAGTTGGTTGCTGGGACTAACGGGGGGAACACCGCTTGGAGGGAGTGATGCTGGGACGGGGGTGCGGATTGGGAGTACGTATGGAAATGGGAATGCGGATGGGAGGGAGAGGAGAGATGAAGAGAGGGGTGAGGGGGGTGAGGTTAAGAGGAGGGGGGGGATGTTGTTGAGAGGAGAACACCCGATTTTATAAGAAGAGAGTGGGTGGAGCTTCTAGAGATTATGTTGAAAGATGGGTAGTTCGATTGATGACGATATCACGAAAGAGCACTTTTACACTCAGATTTATTGGGTAAGGAGGAGCAAAGAAAGAATGGTGCATATAAATCATTCTTCGTCTCTTTTAATACTAGTCTGGTCGCCATAACCGAGATTGGAAATTCCACTTCAAGGGATTGGATATCGATATTGGATAGTCGACTCCGAAATTCGAAAGAAAGTGAGCTCGAAACAGAGGATGAGAGAAAGAAGGGAGAAGAAGAAGGAAAGAGACAGGGGGGGGGGGGGAGAGAGAGAGTTGATACCCTTTTTATTTATTACTTTTCTTGATTTTATTTTTGTTTTTGTTCCTGCCTTTTGTTTTCATTCGGGGCATTTGTATTTTGTGTCTATATGAGGGGCCGAGTGGGTTTGATTTTATTTCATGTGATAGAATAGGGGTGGATGGGTTAGGGGTCAATAAGAGGTGAGCGGGGGAGTTGTGATGATTGGGAAATGAATGCATACATAAATACGAGGCGTTTTTTTGTTTTTTGTTTTTTTTTGTTTTGTTCTTTGCATTGGTAGCTGGAGGGAGGGTATTCATTTTTGGGGATGGAGTGGCTTTAGAGTGGGGAAGATATGTATTAAGGGGATGGGCATAGAATCGAATGGGTAGATACCTAGGTACTTATGTCATATTATGGTAGGAGATTATGATGTCGAGGTATGTGGTGTGATGTGGTGTGATGTGGTGTAGTGGGTTGGAAAGGAGGGGGATGAGTGAGGAATTGATAGTTATCTGTCTACTTATCTATCTATCTAGGTATCTACCTATCTATCTAAGTAATAAATAGGAGGGGTATCATAGGTAAAGTTGAAGTGAGCGAAGCGGGATGGGATATATAGAATATATGAATTATATGTGAGGTGTTGATTATTAGTATATTGTTTACTTGTTTGTTTGTTTGTTTGTATGCTTGGTTGTTTGGTGGTTTGGTTGTTTGCTTTCTTATAAGATGGATTTTTGAAATATTATATACTACTATATTTGTATTTTGGAGTGTGAGATGGATATGGATGTAGATGTGGAATTTATATATATATATCAAGCAACGATACAAATAAATACATATAGAAATAAACATATATACATATATACATATAAACATATAACAAGACAGTACAACAAAACAAAACAAGACGAGACAAGACAAGATTAAGTATATCTATATCTATATCTATATCTATATCTATATCTATATCTATATCTATATCTATATCTATATCTACATACATATAAATTTATATCCAACAGTATCCATCTCATCATCGATCGCTCGCTACCTATTCATTCATTCAAACTCTATTCATTCAAACTCCTTCCATTTAAACTCCCTTCCCGATATAGAATAATAATGGAATAATAATCTAATTCATAATAGTGAACGATATCGATATCGATGGAGATACGATACGATAGTATATATACTATATATACTATCTACGATAATACCAGTTGGTATGTACTATATACTATGAAACAATGCGTTCGTAAATGCCTCTCTCCATATTCATCCTTGGATTTCTTTCCTTTCCTTCCTTTCCTTTCCTGCGCCCCCTCCTTCCTTCTTTCCGTGCCATTCCATTCCGTGCCGTTCCTGCGCCCTTTTCCATTCCTTCTTTGAATCCCTTGGGATAAAGAATGAGATATGTATGTATGTATAACTAGGTATGTATAACTAGGTATGTAAAAGAATTAATAAATGAATAATGTCATCCCCCCCAAACTCCCCCAAGCCCCTT